TTTCTTTCTTTCTTTCTTTCTTTCTTTCTTAGACAGAGCCTCAAGTTGTTGCCCTGGATAGAGAGCCGTGGCATCACAGCTCATAGCAACCTCCAACTCTTGGCTTAAGCAATTCTCTTGCCTCAGCCTCTCAAGTAGCTAGAACTACAGGCGCCTGCCACAATGCCCAGATATTTTTTTTTGGTTGTAGTTGTCAGTTGTTTGGCAGACCTGGGCTGGATTTGAACCCATCAGCTCTGATGTATGTGGCTGGTACCTTAGCCACTTGAGCTACAGGGGCCAAGCCTTTAATTTTTAATTGATGAAGAATAATTATACATATTAATGGGGTACATAGTGATGTTTTAACACATATAATATATACAGCAACAGGTATTCTACCTGTAGTAAGTAGTTCAGGTGTTTAAGGTTAGCTGCTTTAGCAAACAACTCTAAAATCTTAGGTGTTTTTTTGTTGTTGTTTGTTTGTTTGCTGTGGCAGAGTCTCACTTTGTTGCCCTCGATAGAGTGCTGTCGCATCATAGCTCACAATACCCTCAAACTCTTGGGTTTAAGTCATCCTTTCACTTCAGCCTCCCTACTAGCTGGGACTACTGGAACCTGCCACAACTTCTGTCTAGTTTTTCTATTTTTAGTAGAGATAGGGTCTCACTCTTGCTCACTCTGGTCTTGAACTCCTGAGCTCAGGCAACCCATCTGCCTCAGCCTCCCAGATTGCTGGGATTACAGGCATGAGACCCTGTTCCCAGCAAATCTTAATATCTTAATGCAATAGATTCTTACTTATTGGCTTGGCTCCCGTAGCACAATGGTTACAGCACCAGCCACATACACTGAGGTTGACAGGTTCAAAACCAGCCTGGGCCAGCTAAACAACTGCAACAACAAAAAAAATAGCTGGGTATGTGGTAGGCACCTGTAGTCCCAGCTATTTGGGAGGCTGAGGCAAGAGAATCACTTAAGCCCAAGAGTTTGAGGTTGTTATGAGCTGTGATGCCACTGCACTCTACTATGGATGACATAGTGAGTCTGTCTCAAAAAAAGAAAAAAAATCCAACATACTTTATGTAAATCCAAGGAGAAACCAAGGACCTAAGCCCCATATGTCTCCTTGCTTGAGTCCTGAGTCCTCCACTGAATTCTCAGCTTCCCACAGCCATTGAGTGAAGGGAGAGTATGGGATTATAGAGAACATTTTATGGCCACACCTGGAAGAGGTTTGCATCTCTTCTGTGCCCACTCCAATGGCCCAAGATCATTCACATGGCCTCAACCTCACTGCAAGGAGGCCTGAGAAATGTAGTCCTCCTGTGTGACTAGGAAAAGACACTGGATTGATGAGCATCTAGAAAAATCTCTGCCACACACTTTTATACCCCTAGTTACTCATGTAATCATCTCTGATGTGGGAATTAGCACGTGGAAAGGGAGAGATGGATGTATTAGTTTCACATGGCTGTACTGACAAATTATCATAAACTTGGTAGTTTAAAGCAACTGAAGTTTATTCTCACACAGTTCCAAAGGCCAGAAGTCCAAAATCAAGGTGTCAGCAGGACCACATTTCTTCCAGAAGCTCTGGGGAAGGATTAGCTCTTTGCCTCCTCCAGCTCCTGGTGGCTTCAGGAATTCCTTGGCTTATGGCTACAGAACTCCAGTCTCCATGTCCACCTTCACATGGTGACCTCCTCTTCTTTGTCTTCTCTTCTGCATTTCTCTTGGAAGGACACTTCTCAGTGGATTTAGGGCCCACCTGGATAATTCAGGGTGATCTTATCTTGGGATCCTTAACGTATTTACATCTGTAAAAGCCTTTTTTTTTTTCCCAAATAAGGTCACATCTTCAAACTCTGAGTATTAGGACATGGCCATATCTTTTGAGGGCCACCATTCAACCCACTATAATCAGCTATAACTATTTTTGTGGAAAATAATGGGGGTCTGGACTAAGATGGCCTTGGAGAGAGAAATGGATTATTTACAATGTATTAATAATATTTTCATCATAGAGCATAGAGGAATTTGTAAGGGTTACAAGTAGCAGCTGAGGGATGAGGGGGTGGTGACTTAGTGTCCAAACTGTGATTTAGACATAGAACTATGTGACTCAGGTCTAGGTTTCAAAAAGACCCCCCATGTTGGGGATAGACTGGAAGGGAGAGACTAGAGATTGGGGAGGAGCCTGAGGTCAAGGTCCAAGTGGAACAACAAGATCCCTGAGACAGCCTGAACTCCAAAGACAGAGGGGAGGGATAGACTAGAGAGTTAGGAGGCAGGAGAGGTACACTTTAGAGACTGGCAGGCTGTTGAGGAGCAAGGACAGGGATTTGGCCCAGTGGGGATAGACAGTGGAACTGCCTCAGATGGGGAGATTAGGCAAGGGAGAGAATTTGAGGGGGCCTCTGACTTCTGGACAGGATGTGGTGAGAGTGAATGTCCCAGGGGACACCCAGAGCACAGTTGACTGGAAGTCAGGAGACAGATTTAGAAAACAGTAGGATGAGGCCAGGTGTGGTGGCTGACACCTATAATCCTAGCACTTTGGGAGGCCTGGTTGGGAGGATTGCTTGAGCTCAGGAGTTGGAGATTAGCCTGAGTAAGAGTGAGATCCCATCTGTACTATAAATAGAAAAATTAGCCATGCATTGCGGCAGGCACCTGTAGTCCCAGCTACTTGGGAGGCTGAGACAGGATTGCTTGAGCTCAGAAGTTTGAAGTTGCAGTGAGCTATGATCATGCAACAGCACTCCAGATTGGGTGACAGAGTGAGACCCTGTCTCAAAAAAAAAGAAAGAAAGAAAAAGAAAGAAAAAAGAAAATAGTAGATGGAATCTCTCAGAAGAGAAAGAAGGAGCTGAGTCCTCAGGGAGGCAAGTTTCCCAGGGTCTGGGTAGATGACTGGGTGGTGGGGAAACCCCCAGAGTTGGAAATCGGTGAGGAATGTGAGACTTATCAAGAGTGGGGAGCTGATGAGGACTTCGAGGAAGATTGCAGAGGTTGCTGGGTGTGACCAGCAAGCAGGCACTGCAAACTCAGATCTGACTGCCAAGATTCAACACTCTTGGCTCCTCTGGGGCCTTCTCCCCTTGAGCCCCACTGCAGAGGCAGGAAGTGCTGCCTGAGGCCTGGCTTCCGCTGGGTTTCTTGGCACCACTCAGCTGCCCTCCCACTCCTAGGGACCTTCCCTCCTCAGGTCTGCAGCACTTTCACTTCCCCACGTGCCCAGCCCTGCCCCTCAGCAGGTGGGAGCACCCTGGTCTAGAACAGGATGCAAAGAGAGTGGTAAAGATGGGGTTTGGGTGGGGGTGGGTGGGTAGGCAAGATAGATAATGAAAGAAGGACAGAGACCCAGAGAGAAAGGCCAGAAACCCAGGGAGAGGGAGGATAGAGACTCAGGGGACAGGAGGAGGACAGAAATTTAGAGGGCAAGGAAAGAGACCTGGAGAAAGAGGGAGAGATTCTAAGAGAAGGGGACAGCAAGGAGGGGGGAAAAAGATCCAGAGAGAGGGGAACAGAGACCCAAAGACTACAACAAGAGACCTTGAGCAGGGAAGGAGGAACAGAGCTGGATGCAGAGATGGAATAGCTTAGCAGGGTGTGAGGTCAGAGTGTCTGTGAGGTCAGCTGCTGTCCATGGCCAGACCTGGGGTCCCAGTGCCCAGAGATGGGTATGAATAGATCAAGAGTCCCTTTGAATCCTGCAGCCTGAGCCATGGAAACACGGGAGGAACTGTCCCAAGTGTCCGGGGTAGCGTCCTTAGCTGCCACAAATTCCAGCCCACCTCAGGTACCAGGGTGTAAGTCCTACCTGGGCAAGTGACAGAGACAAGGAGAAAGACAGAGAAGAGAGTCACTTTGGGTGAAGACAGAGGAGGTGGAGCCCCGGGAACTTCCTCTTTCTCTGTGTTCTTGCTTTCTCCCTGGCTCTCGGCCTCTCTCTCTCTCTTTCACTCTTGGCCTCTGTCTTTCTGCCTCTCTCCTCACTGCCAGTACCCATCAGATCCCTCAAGCTGATCACTCTGCCTTTTAGGTGAAGATGTCGGCCCAGGAGAGCTGCCTCAGCCTCATCAAGTACTTCCTCTTCGTTTTCAACCTCTTCTTTTTTGTGAGTTGCCTCATGGCTACCCAGCCCGGGCCCCAACCCCTGCCGCAGCCCTGAACCTCACACCCTGGCTTTGCCTACTACCATATTCTCCTCTCCTCTCTCCAGGTCCTGGGAAGCCTTATTTTCTGCTTTGGCATCTGGATACTCATTGACAAGACCAGCTTTGTGTCCTTTGTGGGTGAGGGGGGAATGGGACTGTAGGGGAGACCCTCCCCCCAAGTGACCTCCTGTGGTCTCCCTTATCCCTGGGAGGCCCATAGTGACCAACTTCCTGGGTAGGCTACAGGCTCCAATCCCCTGCTTACCAGTGCTGTACTTCTAGGAGCCTGTGTTTTCCCCTGGCAAATGGGGTTGTGCATATCAATAATAATAGCCATTTCTCAAGCACTTCCTTTGTGTCAGATCGTGTGCTGGTGCTCATCAGATCCTCCCACAAACCTTCCTCTCTCTTGAAGTGATAGGGGAAGTCCCTTGCTGGATGTGATACAGCAAGGAAGTAGAAGAGCAGAAATAATATTAATAACAGTAGACAATACTAATCACCCAAATGTTAATAGCTCATATTTAATAAGTGTTTATCCTATGTTAAAGACTGAGTTTTTATTTATTTATTTATAGACAGAGTCTCATTCTGTCACCCTTGGTACAGTGCTGTGGCATCATAGCTCATAGCAAACTCAAACTCTTGGTCTTGAGCTATCCTCTTGCCTCCGCCTCCCAAGTAACTGGGACTACATGTATGTGCCACTGTGCCCAGCTAGTTTTCTTTGTATTTTTAGTAGAAACAGGGTCTCACTGTTGCTCAAGCTGGTCTTGAACTCCTGAGCTCAAAGCAGTCCACCCACCTTGGCTTCCCAGAGTGCTAGGATTACAGGCATGAGCCACTGCTCCCAGCCTGAGGACTGAGTTTATACATGCTCCCAGGTGCCCCTCAAGACAACCCTGAGAAATTAATATAATTATCCACTAGGTCTCAGGAAGGTTAAGTTACTAAGCCAATGTCATATAACAAGTCATTTAACTGAAACTAATGGGGATGAGAAGGAGCTGAGGGAGGAAAGAGAGAGAGAGAGAAAAAGAAAGGGGCAGAGATCCAGACGGGGGAAACAGGTCCAGAATGAGAAGAGAGTCCCAGAAAGGGACAGCAAATTGCAGTGGGGCAAGGGCAGAGCCCCAGAGAAAGGCAGAAACCCAAATGTAGAAACAAAGAGCCCAAAGAGAGGACCCACAGAATATTGCTCCCCACTTAGGTGGCTGCCTGGGTGGGAGATGGGGCTGCTTGGAGCTATGGACACCAGGCCCACCATCACTGCCTCTCACCTCTCCCAGGCTTGTCCTTCATGCCTCTGCAGAACTGGTCCAAAATCCTGGCCATCTCAGGAATCCTTACCATGGGGCTTGCCCTCCTGGGCTGTGTGGGAGCCCTCAAGGAGCTCCGCTGCCTTCTGGGTCTGGTGAGTCTTCTATTTCCCTCTATCCCTAGAACCACTCCTACACCCCCCTTCAAAAATGCCCTGGGGAGGTTGACCTAGGCACCACCTCAGCCTGACCTCTCCATTCTGCCCCCAGTATTTTGGGATGCTGCTCCTCTTGTTTACCACACAGATCACCCTGGGAATCCTCATCTCCACTCAGCGAGCCCGGGTAAGCTTGCTCTCACTGCCACCACTCCACCTTGGCAGTGGCAGGGGATGGAGGTTGGGGGCTAGGGGGTGGAAAGAGATGGAAACAAAGGCAGATGGGCTGACATAGACAAAAAGAAATAACAGGCTGGGCACATTGGCTCACATATGTAATCTTAGCACTCTGGGAGACCAAGGCAGGAGGATTGCTTGAGCCCAGAAGTTTGAGACTAGCCTAAACAAGAGTAAGACCCTGTCTCTACTAAACATAGAAAAAAAAATTAGCCAGTCATGTTGGCAGGCCTGTAGTCCCAAGTTACTCAGAAAGCTGAGATAGGATTGCTTGAGCCCAAGAGTTGAGGTTGCTGCAAGCTAGGCTGATGCCACATCACTCTAGCCTGTGGAACAGAGCAAGACTATCTCAAAAGAGAAAGAGAGGGAATGATACTGTTTAAAAACACACAGGAAGGAAATCCTGGGATTACATACTTAAAAATAAAATGAAGTATGGAATTATAGAGAAAAAATTAGCTAAATATTGTGAGTGCCTGTAGTCCCAGCTACTGGAGAAACTGAAGCAGGAGGATCCCTTGAGCCCAGGAGTTTGAGGTTGCTGCAAGCTAGGCTGATGCCACTGCACTTTAGCTTGTGGCAACAGAAAGTCAGTCTCAAAAAACAAAAAAAAAAAAAGAGACAGACAGGCAGAGTCAGAGAAAGACACATGGATATGGACAGACATGAAGAGATCCAAAGTGAAACACATGGGACGTGGAGCTGGGAGAGAGAGAACAGGAACAGAAACAGAAGTTCTGGAAGAGGAGAGAGATAGAAACCTAATGAACTCTGAGCAGTGACTGTGGCTCAAAGGAGTAGGGCGCCGGCCCCATATACTGGAGGTGGCAGGTTCAAACTCAGCCCTGGCCAAAAAAATAACTGCAAAAAAAAGAGAGAGAGAGAGAGAAGAAGAAGAAGAAAGCTAATGAACTCTAGAAATAGTGGGAGAAACAGAATGACAGATCTGAGGAACAGAGAGACCTGGCCAGCCATTCACTGAGGCATCGAGGCCAACAAAAGATACAGGGACCCCTTTGGGCTGAAGAGATGCTGGGGTGAGGTGGAGCAGATAGAGCCCAGCCTCACTCTTGTCTCAGCTGGAGCGAAGCGTGCAGGACATCGTGAAGAAGACCATCCAAAACTACCACGCCAACCCGGAGGAGACAGCGGCTGAGGAGAGCTGGGACTACGTGCAGTTCCAGGTGCGTGCACCTTCCACTCCACCCTGACGTGTCCCCAACCTCTAGCTTCCCCTGGTGCTTCGAGGAGATTCCTCCCCGACGTGGCCTCTGGCCCCTGCTCCAGAATCATAAGTACCCGAACCCCTCCAAGTCCGCACCTAAAAGATAAAATAACTGGCCCTAGTCCCTAGATTCTGGCGTAGCTCCCCACCCTCTGCCTCAAAGAGACCCCGCCCCTGCCCCAAGTGGTCGAGTCCCTACACCCAACACTAAGGTGACTCAGCTTCCTCCGTGGTGACTCTGGCTTCCAGTGGATCCCAACTCCAATGAGACTCCATTCCCTGGACACTCACGTCGCCTCACACTCCCATTCACCTGTCCCCTGAGACTGAATTGCACTGCGCACCTAATCGCCTCTCCACAGGGCGATGCTGTAGCTCTTCCCCCAGCCCCAGGTCTCTATGACTCAGGTCTCTTCAAACCTCAAGTTCCAGTAATGTCCCCTAACCTCTTCTCAACCACAGCTCAGCCCACTACCCCCCAATCCTGCACCCACCGCTTAGCCCTCTACTCCTGGGTATGACGTCATACCCATCACTTAGTACCCTGATCCCCAACATCATCTCCTATCTCTCCAGTACTTGTCCGCCTGACTCGTATGCCTGCCTCTTCCAGCTGCGCTGCTGCGGCTGGCACTCTCCACAGGACTGGTTCCAGGTGCTCATACTGAGAGGCAACGAGTCAGAGGTGCACCGCGTGCCTTGCTCCTGTTTTAACTCGTCAGCGACCAACGAATCCGCAATCCACCAGTTCAGCCGGCAAGGACCTACAGGGCGGGCCAGACACAGTACAGACCTTTGCACTGTCTCAGCAAAAGGCTCCATCTATCGCGAGGTGGGTCCCGGCGGCCAGAGATGGGCGGAGTCTGCGAGAGGGGTGGGTCTACAAGAGACCCTAACGCCTCATGAGGGGGTGGGGCTTTACAGGGGGCGGGGTTTCTAGGACGGGTGGAGCGCAAAGAAAGAGCGACTTTGGAAGAAGTGAGGAACAGGTACAGAATTAAGGAAACTAGAGAATCCTGGTAACAACGGAAGCAAGTCGGTGACTGGAAGGGAGGCGAGGGCTGGGGCTGAGAACGCTGGGCCTGGACTTGAGAGAGAATCCTAGAAGAACTCTGCTTGTAACCTTTCCCTACACCTCCAGGGCTGCGCGCAGAACCTCCAGAAGTGGCTGCACAACAACCTCATTTCCATTGTGGGCATTTGTCTGGGCATCGGCCTACTCGAGGTGATCTGGATCCGTCCCCATTTGCCATTGGCCCTATTATCCTTAGATGGCCTGGCACCTAAATGCGTGTCCTCTGGTTGTCCTGGAAAGACGCCCACTCCAACTAACGAGCGGGAGGGGACCTAGCTTCTGTAGCCCTGCTTGGCCGCATGCAGGGAGAGCCTCTTGCCATTGGCCACAATAGCCCTTTCACTTCCTCGCAGGTGAGTGTAATGGTGCTGGGCCTGCTGCTACAGCGCAGGGCACTCCGCCAGGAACCCAAGCCGTCAGTGCCAGGCGCCAACAGTTCCAGCCTCCTGGGACACAGTCTGATCGCTGACGGCGGCAGTGGGCGCTGTGGTGTGCTCAACAGCAGTGGGCGTAGCGGCAGTCTATGGGGTGGCTGGGGCATGGCGGATGCCTGCCCCAACTGGGGGGACAAGGCCCCCCAAGGCAAGCTACCCATGGCCCTGGGGCCCTGGCCACTGTGGGATCAAGATGAGGAGCAGCCAGAGACCGGGAGTGTGGGCGCAGAGGCTGAGGCTGAGGCAGAATTAGAAGCCGAGAAGGGAGAGACAGATGAGCCTCCAGAATAAAGGATCTTGGACTTGCTTCCGACCTTACTCCTCTCAGGCGCTAACCCGACCCTGCCTTCCCACCTACTGAAGTTCTCCCTCTAGCCTCGCTCGTTTCTACCTACTCCTTTCTCTAGCCCTTCCAGTCCACCACTGACTTTCCTCCCTGGTGGTGATGGGGGGTGGGGGGCATCATACCCACTGTTGCCAGCGCCCACTAAACCTTTCTCACTGCGTCTCCTTTCTCTATAGCTCGGCTTCATGACGCTCTCGATATTCCTGTGCAGAAACCTGGACCATGTCTACAAACAGCTGGCTCGATACCGCTAGGCCCCATCCTTCATGAGCCCTACCCTGACCCCTTCAAGAGCACTTCCCCATCGCCTGTAAATATTTGTTTAATGCTCAGTTCACCCCCTCCATTGAGCCCTCCACCTCCTCATTCCCCTGGGGACCCAGGTGTCCGCCTGCCCCTCTCTGCCTCTCCTGAGGGACCTGGGGCTTCCGTCCACCAGCTTCCTGCCCCCAGAGATACTTGGTTTCCTTGACTCATCTGTCGGCCTACCACCTCCCACAAGATTATTTTTCACCCAAACCTCAAATAAATATCTTGCATTTTGGTAAAATAGCTTTATCCTCTGTCAGAACACAAACCAACACACTTTGGGTTGGGGAAGGAAAGGAAGCAGTCTAGCATGTGGCTCACTGAGGAGGAGGGGGGATGAGATTTCGAAGCCTCATCCCACTGCTTGTGCTGCTGAGATAAAGTCATAACCCTTATAAATAGCTTGTTATATTAAAAATATTTCCAGGGCCCATCTGGCTCTGTTCCTGCACAAATAGGGTTAATCTTTGTGACACAAAGGGTAGTAGGGATAGGAAGGAATGAGGGTGGGCTGGCAGCTGGAAAACAGGAAGGGAGACAAGCCAATGTGTAACTAAGGCCCTCCAAAACATCCAGAAGAGCAGGGTAAAGGGGCCCTGTCAGAGGCTGAGAAGAGTACCTGGAGGTTGTCTCACTCCTGTCCTCAAACCTTGATGCTCTGGAGTGATCTGTCCTTTGAGACACCTCCTATGAGGTCTCACTATCAGAGTCAATTCTTTCCTCAGTCCCCACCTAATTCAGCTCACCAACCAAGTTTTGGGGTCCCCTATTGCTTAGGTTTCTGAGGTTAGCCCTTTAAATCACAGCCCTCTAAGTAAGCATGAGGAGAGCTGAAGCGTTCTTCCTGGGAGGAGGATGTTCTGGGAGTCAGCCAGTTTTGAGGTTCCCCTTCAGTCCCTGACCAGGCGGTAAATGTGGTGCTGGGCCCCACGTTCACTGGTGGAGACCTCGAAGACATAGGCAGTGCACAGCAGCAATTCCTGGGTGTCTCTGTTTGTCACCACCTGCCAGGGAGGCCATGAGAAGGGTCTTATGCTTGGAAGGGCAAGGACCACTGTGCCCTTTCCAAGCTACCATGAGACAGCAAACCTCTTTTCCACCCCCACAAAACAAGTTCCACAAATAAAAGGGATGCTCAATATGTCAGCTTCTCCAGCCCCTCCATCGGAGGGGCCTCATATCAGATGGTGTATCACATCTCAGTTAATGGGGTTCCCCCATATCACATTCCGTAGGTTAATGGGATCCCTACCATGTCACACATAAAGGGAGTACCCTCACTTCAGGTCCCCCAGTCAAGGGGTTTCCATCTTAGCACACCCCCCAAAGTTAAAGGGGCTTCCACCACATCATGTTCCCTGGGAAGCTAAGGATCTGCCTTTGGTGGCCTCCACATCAGACATGCCCTGTGAGGTCCCACCATCAAAGTCTATTCTTTCCTCGGTCTCTACCTATCCACTAACCAACCAAGTTTTGGGATTAATGAAGGAGGGATTGATCCCCTTATGTGAGTGCTATGAAGTGTCCACTACATCTTTTCTCTGGGTTAAGGGGTACCCTAAGATAAGGGTCAACTGTGGGGTCCCCACTGCATCAGTTTCCTGGTTAAAAGAGCCCCAGGCAGGACCAGGCACTCACGCCTGTAATCCCAGCACTCTGGTAGGCTGAGGCAGGTGGATCAGCCTGAGTAAGAACAAGACCCCATCTCTACTAAAAATAGAAAAACTAGCTGGGCATTGTGATGAGCACCTGTAGTCCCAGCTACTTGGGATGCTGAGGCAAGGCTATTGCTTGAGCCCAAGAGTATGAGGTGGTTGCGAGCTATGACACCACAGAAATCTACCCAGGGTGACAGAGTGAAAGTGAGGGTAGAGTCCCTGCTTTGTCAGTTCCATGAGTGAAGGGATCCTGTAGGCTGAGAGCCCAACATGGGGTACTCCATTATCTGCCCCCTATGTGAAGAAGTCCCCTAGACTAAAGATTCTGTTGTGAACACTGTCCTCTACATCAGGAGTCCTGCTCGGCCCAGCCCCAGCATGTCACCTGGAGGATGGTGAAGTTCTCAAGGACGCTGTTCATCATGTAGCGCTCAGGCAGCTGCCGCAACTTGTGCAGGAAATTCACCAGGTACTCACACATGGGTGACCGCAGCAGGCGGTACACAAACCTCCCATCCTCCAGCTGGGCCCGCTCCGTCTAAACCAGGGTGCAAGAAGTCGGGAGAACAGTGGTTGAGAGACACATGGGTCACCCCAGGACCTCCACCCTGTGCCTCTCAGATGTCACACTCACTCCCATTGCCATCTTCTCTGCATCATCCCACCTACAGTGACCAAGGTGGAAGCCCTGAACCCTTAGAGATCCGACCCAAGATCTCTGAGTCTATAAACCAGGAGTTCCCCAAGCCCCGCAAAGTGATTCTTTGAACCCTAAAGATTTCTAAATAACTCTGACCTCCAGGAACTCAGATATACTCTAAACCCTCCAAAGAACCCCCCATAAAAGCTCCAAACTCTACATGACCTCGCACCTTGAGATCTTCCAAGTCCCCGGCAATCCCTAAGTATGACTTCTGAACTTCCTTGCTCTATAAACTCCTACATATCCATAAAAACCTTTTCAATTATTGTGACTCTAAATATCTGTACCACATATTTCAACCATCAAAGTGATTCCTACTTGTGATTTATGAACTCCGTAATAGCTCCAAACTTATACACTAAACCCCCAAAGAGGCTAGGATACCTCCACCCTATGCATACCCTCAAATGTCTGAGCCATTTAGCTCCTGGTCCATTCTGCAGCCCCAGAGTGGCAGGCGGCTGGGCACTCACCTGCCCAGAGCTCCACCCTCCAGCCTCACCTCCACCTTCTCCACCACCTGCTTGCCAAAAGAGCAGACCTTGGAGGAACAGGTGAGGGTCATGTGTTCCAGGCTCTCATATTGGCTGCTCACTCCATAGAAGCCACCGCTACTGCTGTTGCTACCGCTGCCAGCCCCTGCCTCCTCGCCACTTGGGCCCCAGTTCAGGTCCGCCTGGGGGATGGGAAACCACAGAAGAGTTGGAGGAGATGTCCTCATAAATAGTGGGGACTCTGCCCCATAACCTGGCTGCCCCATTGTGCCTTTAGTTACCCCTCTCTCCCTCAGTTTTCAAAGTTCTTCACGAGCTGGCTTCTGGAGAACATCCACCTTTCCATCAGTGTTGGAGAAATCTGGGTCCCAAAAATGGTCTATACCCTCTCTCTTCAGTAACCAAAGGAGCCCTGGAATTCACCTTTTTTCTCTTGAAGTCCAACTCAAGAGTTCAGCCCCTGCCAGGCATGGTGGCTCATGGCTATCATCCCAGCACTCTGGGAGGCCAAGATGAGTGGATCATCTCAGCTCACAAGTTAGAAACCAGCCTGAGCAAGAGTGAGATCCCATCTCTACTAAAAGTAGAAAAAAAAAACTAGTTGGGTCTTGTGACAGGTGCCTATAGTCCCAGCTACTCAGGAAGCTGAGACAAAAGAATCACTCTGAGCCCAAGAGTTGGAGGTTGCTGTGAGGTATGATGCCTGGGCACTCTACCCAGGGCAATACAGTGAGAATCTGTCTCAAAAAAGAGTTCAGCCCCTTCTAAGAGCCTGGTTTCTAGGCTAGCAAGGCCCAAGCAGCTCCATTCCACTCTGGGGGCCATCAAAGGGGGTTGACACTCTAAGCCATGAAGACTGACAAGTATGGGCCAGGCTGACACCTAGCTCTCTCTCCCTGAGAGCAAGAGGCCTTAGCTGGGCTGCCACATGATTTATGAGCACTTTCGGTTTTACCGTTGGAACTTACCCAGAACTTAACCAGGAAAAAGGCGTGGGGTGGCCCACGATCATACAGTTCTCGCAGACCACCCTTTTTCTCAGGGAATTTGTCATAGATCTGGCGAACGTCCACGCTCTCAAGAGGGGGTGCTCCAGGGCTGGGGCAGTGTTGGCTGATGTGTACAAACAGGTGCCTCTGGTACTAAGGAAGGTCAGTGTGGGTGAAAAGTGGGAGGTGGGTTGGACCTCCAACCCTCCCTACCCAAGCCCAGCTCACACTGTCGCCATCCCCACAGCTCCAGTTGGCTATTCCACCCAGCACTAGACCTGACCCCCAGACACTGTCCTAACCCCTTTCTGCCCTTGCATCCCCACAGTCCCTCAGTCCCCAACTCTCTGCCCAATCCTCTCAGCTCTGTCCTCACTGCCTTAGCCTCAGCTCAGGCCTCATCCTCTCCCACCCTCATCCCAGCCTCATCTCAGCCTCCCACCTCTCCTCTCCAGTTCATCCTCTATATGGCCCCAGAGCTGACCCTGGCTACCCCCTGCTCATAGTCCTCTCATGGCTCCCCAGTACTCCCAGAACAAAGCCCATACCCCCTCTACCTGGCCCTGTACAGAATAGGTCCTTACCAATGTTCAATGGATAGATGGATAGGAATCCACACAGCTCACACCCCAGACTCCCTTTTTGTCCACATTCTCATGAATCCTTGTTTTGACATTTTACATATCCTGAAAGCCCTTCCCATCTTCTCCTCCAATACATATCTTCCCTGTATCTTTCCAGTCCCAAATCTACCTCTTTCTGGAAACCTCCCTTGATTGCAATCAGATAGAATCTCTCTACCCCACTATTCCGTGGTTCTCCTTTGCCCTCAGGAGAAAGTCTAGGTGCCTTAATTTAGCAATGCCAGCTCTCCCAGAACCAGCACCTGCCCACCTATCTGCAGCCTCACCAGCTCCACCATACTATATTATTTTTCTCCCTGAGAACTCCATGCTCTGCCCATCTCTCTACCTGGAATATTCAATTCCATACATGGCAAACTCCTATATAATCCTCAAAGTCCAGCTCAAATATTATCATACCAGGGAAGTCTTGACTGACTCCCCAAACAGAATTATTCCACTGTACAGCCACAAAAACTTCAGCTCCCCCCATTCCAGCATGCACTCATTATTCAACTGATACCTATCAAGAGATCTGTGTGCAGGCACCAGGGCTACAAGACAAAGTCCCTGACCTCACAGACTGTGTACTGACAGAGAGAGAAAATTTGGAAATCAACCCATGGATATAAATTTCAAGAAATGATATATGCTATTTTTAAAAAAAGAAGGTGACGGCCAAGCCTGGTGGCTCACACTTGTAATTCTAGCACTCTGGGAGGCTGAGGTAGGAGGATCCCTTGATCTCAGGAGTTCACGACCAGTCTGAGCAAGAGCAAGACTCCATCTCTAGCCAGGTGTTGTGGTTGGTGCCTAAAGTCCCAGCTACTCGGGAAGCTGAGGCAAAAGGATTGCTCAAGCCTAAGAGTTTGAGGTTGCTGTAAGCTATAACGCCACAGCACTCTACCCAGGGTGACAGAGTGAGACTCTTTCTCAAAAAAATAAATAAATAAATAAGACATAGTAAAGTATAGTAAGGGGGTTGGAAGTAACAGCATTTGGTATTTTCCATGAAGGTGTTTTAGGAAAGCCTATTTGAGAAATCATCTAGCAAAGGCCTGGATGAATGGAGAGTAAGTTATGGACATACCTGGGGAAAGCATATACTAAGCAGCAGGAATAGCAGATGTAAAGGCCTGAGATGGGAGTGGGTCTAGCATAGTAGAGAAAGAGCAAGGAGGCCATGTGACTGGAGTAGAGTGAATGAATGAGGGTTGAGAGTGTGGAGGTGAGGACAGACCAGGAACAGGGGTCAGTTTGCCCAGAGCCTTTTGGGCAACTGAAAGGATGTTAGCTTTTAGTCTAAGTGTGATGAGAGGATTTAATATGATCCAATTTGGGTTTTACTAAGATCGCCATATACAGTTATTAGTATTTTGACTAGTGTTTATACAATTTATGTTAGCGTTTTGATTGGTGTATATACAGTGACTGCTGTGTGTTCATAAATCCCGGTTCCTTCCCAGTACTAAACTATATTTCCTGGGCTCCTTTACAGTTAGGTAGTAACATAACTAAGTTCTAGCCAATGGGGTATATGCAGGCCTGATAGTTGACACATCCTAGTCATATCCATGAAGCCTCCTACACAATCTTAACTCTCTCCCTCCCTCCATCTGCTGGCCAGATGCAGAGAATCCTTCAGCAGATTCTGAAGCCCTAGAAAATGGAAGAAGCACAAATTGGAAAGAGCCTGGATCCCTGAATCACTGTGTGGAAGGCCCCTGCCAAACCCACACTGAAATGTTACATGAATAAGAAACTTTTGTGGTGTTTCATCTCTAAAACAGTGATTTTTCAACTGGTGTGCTGTGAAAATTTTTAAAAATCATTAATTAAATTTTTTTTTTTTTTTTTTTTTTTTTTTTTTTTGAGACAGAGCCTCAAGCTGTCCCCCTGGGTAGAGTGCCATGGCATTACAACTCACAGCAGCCTCCAACTCCTGGGCTCAAGTGAGTCTCCTGCCTCCGCCTCCCAAGTAGCTGGGACCACAGGCGCCCGCCACAACGCCTGGCTATTTTTTGGTTGCAGCCGTCATTGTTGTTTGGCGGGTCCGGGCTGGGGATTCAAACCCGCCACCTTAGGTGTACGTGGCTGGCGCCTTAGCCGGTTGAGCTATAGGCGCCGAGCCAATTAAATTATTTTCAAAAGAAGTTCAAAGCACAATAAGTATATTCTTCTTTTTTTTTTTTACCTTTTTTTTTTTGATCAACATAATTTACGTGTGCCATGGAAGTTTGTTTAACTATAGGTTCAAGTGTGCTGTGAGATTTTTTAAAAAAGGTTGAAAAGACCAGGCGTGGTGGCTCACACATGTAATCCTAACATTCTGGGAGGCCAAGGTGGGTGAATTGCCTGAGCTCATGGGTTCAATACCAGCCTGAGTGAGCAAGAGTGAGACCCTATCTCTAAAAATAGTTGGGCATTATGGCGGGCACCTGTACTCCCAGCTACTTAGGATGCTGAGGCAAGAGAATCACTTGAGCCCAAGAGTTTGAGGTTGCTGTGAGCTATGACACCACAGCACTCTACTGAGGGCAACAAAATGAGACTCTGCTTCAAAAAAAAATAAAAGGTTGAAAAATGCTGTTCTAAGAGTTGAGACTTCTGTCAGCTCACCCTGACTAATACAGCATCTGTCTGTATCCTAACCCAGGAGAAGCTCAAGCCCAGAAACAAGATCTGCTTTCCCAGTTCTTAATATGCTTTCCAAATCCTGATAAACAGTAGAAACTAAAACACATCTGATGAATAAATGATGGTCTGGAGAGTTTCTCTGACCTTCCCAACCTGTGACTGCATGACCTTCCAGTTCCTTTATTCCCAAAGTATGGTTCCTCGGTCAGCCACATCAACACCACCTGGGAGCTTGTTAGAAACATAAATTCTCAAGCCCCACATCACAATTAGTGAATCAAAAGTTCATAGATTGGGGCTTGACAATATTTGTTTTAACAAGCCCCCCCCCCATTATTCTGATATAAGCTAAATTTTGAGAATCACTACTCTCTGCCTTCCCTCTCTGTCACCCCTCTACATTTCAAAAATCTCTTAATGACTCTCCCAAAATTTCACTCACTGAGTCAACTGCATCCGGTGGTTCCACAAAGGCTGAGAACTCTACCAGCTGTAACCGGGCAGTGCCCAGGGCCCGCGCCTGCCAGGCTGGGGGTGATGGGGCAGGTGGGGGCAGGGGTGAGAGGGATTGGGAGGCCTCATACCCTAAAGAGAAAGAAGAAAGAACAATAAAAGTTGCTAACATTTGTTGACTATATCAGGTACCATTGTCTCTTTCCTGCCTCCACTTAGAAGCTGAAAAAGCTAAATACTCACTTTCCCAGCCTCCCTTGCAGCTAGAGGTGGCCATGTGACACAATCCTGGCCAATGAGATGTTAGGGGGGGCTTCTGGGAAGGAGTTTCTTCCTGAATGAAAAAGACAGAACTTTGGGAGGAGAAAGCTTTTGGCCGTGGCCAGGTCCTGCTTGGAACATAGTGCCTGGAGTCATAGCAGCCATTATGACAGAGGCCAAGAGAACTATAGAGATACCAGTCCTAGTATTGCTGAGCTACTGTGTCAGGACAGGAGCAGCCCACCTCCAGACTTTTTGTTATGTGGAATTGACAAAAAGTTAAAGCCTTTATTATTTCATTAAAGCTTTTACTATTTAAGGTACTATTAAATTTAGGTATTTGGTTATTGTAGCCAAAAGTGTTCCTAATTGATAAATCTGTGGAACCTGAGGGAGCCAGGGACTCCCTCTTTCACTGACATAAGTTCTCAGGACCACATTGGCATGGACTTCTGGAAGCCATCTTTGCTGCCCAGGTGAGCTGAGCCTGCCTGGAAATGAAGCCACCACAGACAAAAGCAGATCAAAGGAATTCCTAATGCTGCCACTTGAGCAGCATCCACTTCAGGATCCAGCCCTGCCTGAAGCCATAATTCTGAATTATCAATTACTAGAACTGACAACTAAAAAAAATTATTTCTCTCTCTCTCTTTTTTTTCTTTTTTGGCTTCAGCTAGCCTGATTTGGGCTTCTATCACTTGCATTGCATGAATATACCTCCCCAATGTCTCATAAACTAGCAAGTGATAGAACACAAAACCAGTATGCATCTGGCTACAGAGCCCTGTTCTTAACCGTTGCAAATTCTGCCACTCACCTTTCCATACCTATATACACACATACTGGCACATACACAGTCTCAGAGCTGGGCTTCAGTAACAATATGTCCTCTGATTAATGGAAGGTTGAAGGAAAGGCAGTTGAGGTCGAGGAAAAAGCGGGGAGCCAACAGAGGGTGGACAACAGGCTCTTACCTGGGAGGTCGGTAGATGGAGGAGTCAGTGACAAGGAGAACGATGTCTGGGAAAATGGCTTCACACTGAGAGAAAAAGGAAGCCAGGGGTCAGCAAGATAGAAAAGTGCTTATTTAATGAGAGGCCACAACAAATTAGACCTGTGCTGGAACATTCTTTGCACAATGTCACTGAAGCTTCACAGCCTATTGAATAGGTGAAATTACCGCTCTTCTCATTTAACAAATGAGGAGACTGAGGCACAAGTGATCTGCCCAAAGTCAAAGTCACACTGCTGGGAAGCAATGGAGCCTGGACTTGAACCTAAGTTAGTCCCAACCACAAAGCCCATACTCTTGATGGTGACATTTTGGTATCCTTTGCAAAATGTCAGAAAGAGAAGAGAAACCAGATCTTGGGAGGTGGAGAAAAGACAAAGAAGATGGGGAGCTTGAAGAAAGAAGAGGCTGAGGGGCTGAGAGGGTGGGAAGAAAATAACCAGGGCTCAGGGGTGGGGAGGCAGCAACATCCAGTAGAACTTTCTGTGTGACGAAATGAATGTTTTACATCTGCACTGCCTAGCCACTGGCCATCTATGACCACTGAGCACTTGTGTGGTTTTATTTTAAACAGCTGCTTATGCCTAGTGGGTTATTATAGTATAAGTCACAGATCCAGAGGTTCAAAGGTAGCCCAGGAGATGATGATGTGGAGACTCAGAAGTCTGAACATGGCATGGTGGTCAAAAGTCAGGAAAGAGAGCAGGCCAGGTGCAGTGGCTCACGCCTGTAATCCTAGCACTCTGAGAGGCCGAGGAAGGTGGGTTGCTTGAGCTCAGGAGTTTGAGACTACCCTGAGCAAGAATGACATCCCATCTCTAAAAAATAGCCAGGCATTGTGGTGGGCACCTGTCATCCCAGCTACTTGGAAGGCTGAGGCAGAGAATCACTTAAGCCCAAGAATATGAGGTTGCTGTGAGCTATAACACCACAGCACTCTGCCCAGTGCATCAAAGTGAGACTCTGTCTCAAAAAATAAATAAATAAATAAATAAATAAATAAAACAAATCAGACAAACAAACAAAAAGGTCAGGAAAGAAGTCAAGCTCCCTCCCCTGCAAACATGTGGTCCCTTGAGCTTCTAGGGACTTGTTTGGATGCTTTCGTGTATCTCTCAGCAGCAGCTCCCCATTGAACTTATCTACTAGTCTAGATCCTATAGCCTGTCATTTGACTCTTCTTCTGGCAATATCCTCTGCCTTGCTGTCCTGTGGCCATACTCCCTTAGTGACACCAGCCTGGATCCTTTAGTTCCTGCCTGGGCTGAAATTTGTACTTCCCATGATCATCCCATTTTCTATCTCGCTAGTCTAGAAACACATCCTGTCACTCTCAGGGATTTCTCAGAGCTGAAAAAGACACTCAAGTACTGCTAGGACCCATTTCTTCCTTCTGAGGAAGGCGATAATAACTCCTGTTCTACCCTCAGGTCCACGAGCCACCTCAATGGAATGGAAACAAGCCCTTCCATGACTTTTGGGGGCTCCACTTTGTCCTCCCTGGAGTCTCAGGACCTGTAACTGATGTTCCCATGAGCCTCTAGGGCTAAGACAATCATACTGGGAGGTTATTATACCACACACATCCTATAGCCCCCCCAAGTCCCATGCTGAGCTCATTTCACCCTAAAACCCACTTCTTCCCCAGGATGCACATCTCCAGATGGTCCCACCAACTCTAGTCAAACCCTGGATGCTATCCTTGCCTCCTTCCTCCTTCCCAAGCCAACAGGCCCTAGCCCTGTTTCTCCTCCTCCCAGACTCCCTCTGCCTAGGCCTCTCCTCACTATCTCAGCTCAGACCCTGTCCTGAGCACTTATTATGTGCCAGGTCCTATCCTACTAATTATACATGTGTTAAACTCATTTATCCCAAAAACAACACTGTAAGGGAAGTACTATTATTATCCCCATTTTAGAGATGAGGAAACTGAGGCTCTGAGCATTAAAGTCACCTACCCAAGGCCCATAACTCATAAAGGGCAGAGATTGGATTCAAATCCAGATAGCCTAGCTCCAGAAGGTGTGTTCAAAGGGAAAACAGGAGCTAGAAGGAGTGAGAAAGTTCTCTGTGGGGATGTGAGGGTAGGGGGTAGGTCCTGAACCAAGACACAAAATACTCACTCTGGAACACTCCAGGGGGGTCCAGAGCCCCCTGACCAAAACTGGAAAAGCTCAGAGGCCTGGAGAAGAGAAAAAGACAGGTGGTTATCAGTCCCCTGTTGGCAACTGCAACCCCATCCCTTTAGCCCCAAACCCCACAATCCCTAACTCAGGCCACCTGAGGACCAGCAGAACCTAGCTTGGCCTGCACGGAAGGTGCAGAGATAAGCTGGGCTGAAGACATGGTAGCCATGGTCTGGAAAGCCTTGTCCTTGGAAACCTGGTCCTGAAGAAAAAAGTGCCAGTTCATGTTAATAGGGGAGTCCCAGTCAACACAGCAAAGGTGGAACAATGCCAAGGTGGGGCCAGGATGGGACGACACAGAGCTGGGGAGTCAAGGCAAAGGGCTAGGGGAGGGTTAAACTCCCTCTCACTATAGCCCCTTTGCCTCTCCTCCTGGATGGGGCAGTTGTCTGGAGTGAGAGTGAATGGGAGGTTGGGAAGGGGGACTTACCACATTCAGGGCCTGCCCGTAGGGGTGGGGAGGGGTGCCAAAGGAGGAAAGAAAACATGACTTAGGAAGTGAGGCCTCACTTTTCCCTCATCTCCCTGCCCTACCAGCCCATAGTCCCACCATCCTGAGTTGAGCAATGGGAATAAGAGGAAAAAGGCAAAGGGATGAACATGCAGCAAGAAGTGACAGTGGTCAGTCCTGGAGAAGGGATTTCTCTGCCAATATAAAAGACAGTCATGAGGGTTTCTAGGTCAAGAAAAAGCCAGAGTGGAGAGCCCAGATGCCCAGGCAACAGAAAAAGGAGAATTTTAAACCCAGGGGGAATAGAAGGTGCATGTTTCATATTACAGACATAACAGAGAGGGCACAGAGAAGGTCCAGGAAAGACCGGAAGTGAAGGCTTTTAGACTTTGAGAGAAAGGAAGGGAAGGCTTCCGGGTACAAAAAAGTATAGGAAGTGATTATACTGAAGTTCAAAAGAAGAGAAAAAAAAGAAAGAAAGAAAGAAAAAACACCCAGAGAGGCAGAATATGAGGGTCTCAGGCCAAAAGGGAACTGGAACTCCAAAGGATAAAGAAAAGAAAGTGGATATAAAAATCTCCAACAGAAAATGAAGATTTCCGGACACAAAAAGCAGGTGGGCCACATGGGGACAAGGAAATAGGAAGATAAACTAAAGGAGAAAAAGAGGCGATCTTCATAGCACAAGAGGAAAGAAGAAGGAAGAACAAAAGGAAAAGAGGGAAGGGTGAGTAACACAGTAGTCAAGGAGAGGACTAATGGCCTGACCTTCTTACTGTCCTAAGTTAAATCTTCATCCCTGACTCTATGGGCTCCCTCCCTACCTAGGGTCTCTATACAAACCCTTTTGCTGAGCCACTGACTCCCCACTTTGGATTTCTATACTGCCTGCCCCATCTACAGAAGTCCCTGACCCTTGGTCTCTGTCCCCCTCTCTCTGGGTCTTTTCCCTCCTCTTGGGGACTCTGTCCCCCTCTCTTTGGGGCTCTGTGACCCTTTGTCTATAAGTCTCTGTGCCACTTTCCCTGGGTCTCTGCCCTTCTCTCTCTGGGACTCTGTGCCTTTCTCTCTGGGGCTTTGTCACTCTCTCTCTTGAGCCCTGTCCTCATCTGCCTCTAGGTCTCTGTCCCTCTCTCTCTAAGTCTCTGTCCCCCTCTCAGGATGACTGCCTTGGTCCCTACCTTTAGCTTGGACTGGATTTCCCTTGATTTCCTTCGGGTCAAAACCTGGATGTGACTAGAGACCTAGAGGGATCAACAGAGAAGCAGGTTCAAGCCACAGTCATCATCCCTTGTGTTCAATACCCCTTCCCTTCCTCCAGATGCCTCACTGAGCTGCTAGAACATGAAAGATGACAAACACAAAAGGTACTAGCTGTCTCAAGAGGAGGCCAACATAGATGTATCCATAAAGGCTATTCTGGATGTGAGGGTGACCTGGCTGCAACATCTGTCAATCCACTGATCACCAGGGTTAACTCGGCTGGTCTGATGGCTAGACAGTAGCCCCCTTCCTCCCTCATCACTCTACATGCATCCTTCCCAAAGCAGCACATTTGGTCAAAGAAGACAATCTTCCCTGATAGAAGAGGATTGTTCTTCGGTCAGGGATATATGAGTAGCTGTGGTCCCCTACTAGAACCTACAAATAAGCTTGAAAGGTCCGTAAAGGCTATTCTTTCCAGGAACTTGCTAACTTCACTGATCTTCCCCAGGTCCAGATCTCCATCCCCTTCCCTATTGCTTTCTCTTTGGCTCTTTTGGTCTCTCTGGTTCTAACACAACTGTTAAGAAAACTACCGCAAAAGAGGCACAGTTAGAGCACACTGCCAAGATGACAGATAAAAGCACATGAACCAGATTCTCCTTGAACCTGAACCTGCCCTTACTAGGATATCTCTAAGAAGACAGGCCCATCCAAGACAGAAGTCCCCAAGTCAGTTCTGAGACCTGTTTGCGAGTTCGGGTCTTCCCCGTTCTCAGCTTGATGTAGCGGGCAATCAGTTCATTCCGACCTGAAGATTCAAAGATGGAACAGAGTTAGACCTTCAGCAGGACTTCCTAGCAGAGGAGAAACTAGGGAAGAAGAAAGTACCAATAGTCCTCAAAGGTCTGTAGCATCTAGGTTGCAGGTCTCCTCAGCTTTAGGAGAGCCAGATTGCTTGGGTTCACATCCTAGCTTGATCATGTACCAGTTCTGCAATCCTAAGCAAACCACTTAAACTTTCTGAGCTTTAGTTTCCTCATCTGTGCAAATAGTGATGCTAGTTCCTACTGAGAGTTGCTATGAAGATATAATGTATTTTTACCTGAATGGGACTTAGAGCTCCATAAGTATTGGTCATTATCATTGTTAATTGGTGGAGGACTGGGCAAAAGATAGAGGTGGACTCACCATACATCTTTCCTTCATCAGACAGTATGATTTTTCGGCGGCCGCAGGGTGGGTAGATGGCCAGGGCCTCCTGGAAGCTCTGCTCGATGTCTGGGCTCCAGACACCCTCTGCATCTGGGCTCCCATCTCCCCCAGCCCCCTCGCTGCCTCCAGCACCCTCCTCACTGCCTTCCTCACTGCCTGTCCAGCCGCTGCCATCATCCAGGGGGGCCCCAACCCGGGGTTCTCCCATCTGGGCCTGGAGGAACAGAGAGCTCAGCAAGCTTCCCCTGACCCTCTTCGAAGGACCAATTATATGAGGGCTAGGAGTCTGGACTGCTGGGTCCTGGAGGAAAAAAGGGGCTGGATCGCTGCAAAAGCTTAGGGTACAAGTGTTCTCCTCTGAGTTTCCAGAGGAACTGCATAGTGATGAAGTCTTGAAGTCATCATTACCCTAGAATAATGCCTAGGGATCATGAAGGCTAAAACTTTGGGTATGGATTACTGGTTTTAAACAAAATGGGAGTCAGGAGCTAGCTGCCAGGAGGAGGGTGTGGGTACAACCATCCCAGTCCCACCCCAAGAACAGGTGCTAGGATGCGAGCAGCAGCTGCTAGAAAAGAAGAAGAGGGGACAGGCCAAAGTAAGGCGGGTGGGAGATCTAAAAAGACTGGGACCAAGACCCAGAGAGACGGGGACAGAGACTAGAGAAACAGGGATACAGAGACCCAGAAAGAAGAGGACAGAGACCCAGAGAGAGAACCACAGAGACCTAGAGAGAAGGGAAGGGAGACCCAGAAAGAGGTGGACAGTTTGAAGACAGAAACTGAGGCCAAGACCAGGAAAGACTCACAGAACCACAGGCTGGGGGTGCAGGGAGGCTGCCATCAGAAGAGCCAGAACAAAGGGCCCAGGCGACCCCTCCCCCAGCTTCCCACAACCCCCACCAGGGGAGGGGCTGGACAACAGGGCAACTCCCCTCCGCCCCCCACCCCGTCACGTCCCTCCTCTTTCCTCCCCTCCCCCTACACCGTCGGCTCGGATCCAACTCAAGTTCCCAATGACTTTCCGGAGGCCGGGAACAGGGAAAACTTTTCCCAGTACACAGAGATTCCGCCTCCCTGGAGGCTCCACGCCTTCCACATCTTTCCCAGGACCCCAGGGTCCAGGGCCCCCTTTCCCCTCCTCCTTCACACCCTGGCAGACAAAGACCCCAGCCCGAGCCCAGTGGCGCTGCTGCGCTCAAGACCCCCGTAGGCCAAAATCCCAGCCCAGCCCTTCTCCATGTGGCCAGACAAAGGGACGGTGGAAGCGAGTAAGAAAGGTCCCCCCTAACATTACGCTCCAAGCTCTAAACCTCCAAAGACACAAGACTGAAGACCCAGAAAGCCCATAGCGGTCCCTTGGCTACCTCGGAGGCCTTCCCTTCTCCACGAAGAAAATCACAGCGCACAAATTGCGCACACGGGTCTTTCTCACTCCAAACTGACACCACTGCAGATGTTCACACACCCCCACAGTCCATCGGAACCTTCAGCCCTCACCCACTCCTGCGCGCACTCTAACACCCAAACTCAGACCCATCCGCAAAAATTCTGACTCTGGAGAAAGTTGCAGCTGCATACTTAGGCTCACAAGCGCAAACTCTGGGCCCCAGACAAATAGAGCGCGGAGAGCCATTCAGAGACCTTCCCACAACACACACGCCTCGCAACCAGCAACTTCTCACCCCAATTCACACACCCCAAAGAGGAATCCCTGACTCCCGCTGGCACCTTCCTACCTCCCGGCCTGGGGCTGGGGAACCGCGGGCGGGCGGGGCGCAGCGAGAGAGAAAGTTGCCTGTAGCTTTGTTTGGGAAAAGTGGGAGGGACCGGGGGGGGGGCGGGCCCAGGCTGCGGACAGTGGGACCCAGGATCCCGATCGTGACAGTTTGGGGGAGAATTTTTGCCTTGGGAAAGATGAAGTCTATCTGGGGTTCTGGTTGAAACTTGGGATTTGGACGCTTGGATTCCTAGGAGAAGAGGAGGATTGGGGGTTTCGACTCCAAGTCTAAGGGGTCCAGGAAACCTGCGTCTGAGGGAGGAGGGACAAGAGTTGGGACTCTTGGGTCTGAGAAAGGAGACGTGGGCTCCCAGGTCTGAAAGAGGAGGGGGCGGAGGCCTGGACTCCTGTCTCAGGTACTCTCGAGTGTTTGTGTGTTGGGGTGTAGAAGTGATACGAACACAAAGAATCTTTACTGTTCACAGCCCCAAGTATATTTTTGACGATTGGTATATGGGGAAGGATTTTGATTGATTCCTGTGACAACACGGTTTCCTTTTGACCTCACCACAGTTAATGGTCATGGTGAAGACCACCAGAGTGTACTGGAGTCTCACAGAGTTAAAGACTCCTGCACGCCCTAGTGGACTAGAGGTGGCAGCTGTCCCAGGACAGGGGGAGCCTCCGGGACTGAGAAGAGACAGGTTAGGGCCCGATTCCTTAAGAGTGAAGGGTTGGGTGTTCAAACTCATGAGACTAGAGGAGGCTGCACACTTGGGGTCCTGAGGGAGAAGGAGGCCCTGGTTCTGAGTTCCTGTAAGACTAGACTTAAAGTTTCCGGAAAGACCTGGGCTTTTTAGTGGGACTGGAGAGGGAAAAAGAGAAGGGATACGGAGAAAGGCTCGGTGACAGATATAAGATTAAAGAACGAGCGAACTAGAAGGACCGCTAGGGCAGCGCCCGTAGCTCAGTGGGTAGGGCGCCGGCCACATACACCCAGGATGTCGAACCGGCCCGGGCCAGCTAAAACACCAATGACAGCTGCAGCCAAAAATAGCCAGGCATTGTGGCGGGAGCCTGTAGTCCCAGCTACTTCGGAGGCTGAGGCAAGAGAATCGCTTAAGCCCAAGAGTTGGAGGTTGCTGTGAGCTGTGACGTCACTGCACTCTACTGAGGGCAACATAGTGAAACCCTGTCTCAAAAAAAAAGAAAAAAAGGGCTGCACCTGTGGCTCAGTGAGTAGGGCGCCGGCCCCATATACCGAGGGTAGTGGGTTCAAACCTAGCCCCAGCCAAACTGCAACAAAAAAATAGCCAGGCGTTGTGGTGGGCGCCTCCCAGCTACTCGGGAGGCTGAGGCAAGAGAATCGCCTAAGCCCAAGAGCTGGAGGCTGCTGTGAGCTGTGATGTCACAGCACTCTATCGAGGGTGACAAACTGAGACTCTGTCTCAAAAAAAAGAAAAAAAAAGAAGGACCGCTGGACCTCTAGCGTTTCCAGAGCAGAGGGAGCCTAGGAAAGAAACTTACTGGCGCAAGACTTGGGGCACAGAGGCGTGGCCCAGGTGATGGGGAGTGTCTCGTTAGGGGACGGAGCCATCTGCAGTTAGAGACTCGGATGCTAGACAGAGATCAAAGAAGTGCACCAGCGGGATCCGGGTCTCCAAGGCTGAAGTCAATCGGCAGGGGCGTGGTCTAACAATTTGGGCGTGGCCAGGGGAATGACTTCTTGGCTCTGGCTTAAAGGGTGTGGTTAACGAAGAATGAGGGGCGTGGCTTTGCTCCACGGGAGGGATAGCAGGTGGGTGTGGTCAGTCGTCGGGGTGTGGCTAGGGCTCGCGGCGCGCCTCCAACGCTCCAGGTATCCAGCCTGGGCTCGAGACCAGAACTGTTTGGATTTAACAGTCCGTGGACCTCCGGAGCCTGGGAGTCCAGTGACCAGACTGTGGTCTAGTATAAGGGCGGGGCGCAGAAGAAGGGGCGGGACGTGGGAGAAGGTGAGGAATGAGATATGAGTACGAATGTAAGGCGAAAGCGAGGAATGAAATCAGTGTATGAGGCAGAAACCAAGAGCCCGGCCTGGGAAAAGGGGGGATGTGGCAGGATGGAGGGAGTAGAATTGGAAGAAAAAGGGAGTGGGTGGAAATGGTTGTAGTGTGGGGAGTTGCCCAGACTGGGGACACAGCGTGGGCCAGGTGGGTGGTGGTCAGTGTGGGGTAGAGCCTCGGTAGGGGGCTCTGATCCTTACCCTTGCCACAGCCTCCCCGCTCGCCCCGCAATGTGGCAACCACTGGTCTTGCTGCTGCTGCTCCCCTCTGCCCTGGTGCCCCCCTCCACTGCAGCCCCTATCCGCGATGCTGACGCCCAGGAGAACTCCTTGGGTCTTCTAGGCCTCCAGAGCCTACTCCAAAGCTTCACCCGACTTTTCCTAAAAGTAAGCCATGGCAGGGGTTGGTGGGAAAGAAGAGTTACAGAGAAGAGAGACAGTTTGTGGTCAGACCAGGACAAACAGGAAGAGAGGGAGTCAGAGAGAACAACAGGGATACCAAGAGGTAGGAAGAGAAGGAAGGCAACAGACAAGGAGAGAGGGACATGGGACAGAGATAAGAGTGGAGAAAAAGAGACAAGAGGAGGGAGGGATGGGGACAGAGACAATCGGCTAGATAGGGGGCAGGAGAAGTAAGATAGTGGGGTGGGGAATAGAGACAGAATAGATTATACAGGCCAGAAGTTAAGCCCTAAGTGTCAGAGGACAGAGAGGGAAGGGGACAGGTAGGACATCAGACAAGACCTCAAGGGTATCCTGGCAGTGCTGCAGGTGTACTGGGGTCCAGCAGCTCACCAGTCCCTCTTCTTGTTCCAGGAAGACCTACTTCGGGGCATGGACAGTTTCTTCTCTGCCCCCATGGATTTTCGAGGCCTCCCCAAGAACTACCACCAAGAGGAGAACCAGGAGCGCCAGCTGGGTAACAATACCCTCTCCAGCCACCTCCAGATTGACAAGGTGCCTATGCAGGGAAGCCCCTGCTGGAGTGTCCTCACAATCCCTGATCCCTCATGCTGCAGTATATGTCCAGAGGGAAGGAGGGCAGAGGAGGAAAGCGGCTTTGCTGGCTCTCTCTCATCCAATCTCCACAGGTGACTGACAACAACACAGGAGAAGTGCTGATCTCTGAGAAGGTGGTGGCATCTATCCAGCCAGCAGAGGAGAGCTTGGAGGCTGACTGGAAGGTTTGTTTGTGCCCAGCCCCCAAAGCGTCCAGACTCCAACCTTTTCTGTAGTTTAGGAGGGTAGGAAGAGAAGTTGCTCCTCCCCCCTCCTTCTGTGTGGCACTTCCTTCTCTGGGCCTCAGTTTTGTCATCTGTCAAAAGGGACAAACCAACTCTCAAAAATGAGGTTTACAACCTCAGAATACATCCCCAACTGTTTAGTAAACCTGAGAGGGTTTTTGAGTGCCAAAGTGTTTTATAGACCAAGAAGTAATTTCAATTTCAATTGCTTGGTAAGCTTCACCCTCAGAAACCTCAAGTAAGTACTCTGCAAACCTCAGAAAATTTGTTTTTTTATACTGGGTCTCACTCTGTTGCCCAAGCTAGAGTGCAGCAGCAGCATCATAGCTCACTGCAACCTTGAACTCCCTGGCAATCCTCTCCTCTTTGGCCTCCCACAATGCCGGGATTTCAGGAATGAGCCACCATGCTGGGTCTAGAATATTTTTTAATCTATCCAAAAATGCTTGGTAAACCTCTCACTTGTAAACTCCAAAATATGATTTTTAGTGGCCTGGTGAGGTGGCTCATGCCTATAATCCTAGGACTATGGGAGGCTGAGGCAGAGGGATTGCCTGAGCTCAGGAGTCCTGCCAGAGCAAGAACAAGACCCTGTCTCTAAAATTAGTCTGACACTGTGGCAGGTACCTATAGTCCCTGCCTCCAGGGAGGCTGGGGCAAGAGGATTACTTTGAGCCAAAGAGTTTGAGGTTGCTGTGAGCTATGACACCATGGTACTCTACCAAGGGTGACAAAGTGAGACTCTGTCTCACAATATATACAAATAATATGATTTTTAATTCCACAGTGCTTTATGAATTCCAGATCCTTTTTGTGTTTCTCACTTTTTGTAAACTAACGTGAGTGTCTGATCACAAAGTACTTTGCAAATATCAGAGTATTTTTATTCCTAAAAAGTTTTGAGAATTCTGCAGTTCTTGGTAAACCTATATGGTTCTCACATAAATAATACCCTCTTTTTTTTTTTTTTTTGAGACAGACCCTCAAGCTGACCCCTGGGTAGAGTGCCATGGCATCACAGCTCACAGCAACTCCTGGGCTCAAGCAAGTCTCCTGCCTCAGCCTCCCAAGTAGCTGGGACCACAGGTGCCCGCCACAACGCCCAGCTATTTTTTGGTTGCAGCCATCATTGTTGTTTGGCGGGCCAGGGCTAGATTCAAACCTGCCACCTTAGGTGTATGTGGCTGGCGCCTTAGCCACTTGAGCCACAGGCGCCGAGCCTTTTTTTTTTTTTTTTTTTTTTTGGTAGAGACAAAGTCTCTCACTTTATTGCCCATGGTTGAGTGTCATGACGTCACACAGCTCACAGCAACCTCCAACTCCTGGGCTTAGGTGATTCTCTTGCCTCAGCCTCTTGAGTAGCTGGGACTACAGGCGCCCACCACAATGCCCAGCTATGTTTTTGTTGCAATTTGGCCAGGGCTGGATTTGAACCTGCCACCCTCGGTATATGGGGCCAGCACCCTACCCACTGAGCCACAGGCGCCGCCATCCAATACCCTCTTTTTTTATTTAAAAAAATTCAAAGTTATGGAAAAAAACTTTTTAAATAATACAATAAAAATGCCTATATTTTCTTTTCCATAGATCAAAGCTTTTCCATCTTAGTGCCATAGGCATTGGGGCTGGATAATCCTTTGTTTTGGAAACTGAACTGTGTACTTTAGGATGTTTGGCTTCTACCCACTAAACAGAAGTAGCAGTCCCACCCCACCAGTTGTGACACCCAAAAATGTCTTCAGACTTCAGTTGAGGACCCCTGGCCTAGATTCACCTCTTGTTAACACTTAGCCAGATTTTATCTATTTTTACTTTTTAATTTCTGAACCATATGACAGTAAATTGCTGACATCATGATACTTCACACCTAATAAATACTTAAGCAATCTAAGAATAATGTATTCCAGCTAGGTACCATGGCTCACATCTATAAATCCCAGCACTTTGGAAGCAAAAGTGGGAGGATGCCTTAAGTCCAGAAGTTCAAGAACAGACTAGAAAACATAATGATACCCATCTCCAAAAAAAAAAATTTTTTTAATTGGCTGAGTGTGGTGACATGTGCCTCTTGTCCCAACTACTCAGGAGGCTGAGGCAAGAGGATTGCATGAGCCCAGAAATTCAAAGCTGCAGTGAGCTATGATAAGGCCACTGCACTCCAGCATGGGTGACACAGGGACCCTGTCTCAAGTAATAATAATAATAATAAGGCCAGGTGTGGTGGCTTACATGTGCAATCCTAGCACTCTGGGAGGCCAAGGTGAGTGAATTGCTTGAGCTCAGGAATTTGAGACCAGCCTGAGCAAGAGCTAGACCCCATCTCTACTAATAGCCGGGCATTGTGACAGGTGCCTATAGTCCCAGCTACTTGGGAGGCTGAGGTAAGAGGATCCTTTGAGCCCAGGAGTTTCAGGTTGCTGTGATCTATGACACTACAACATTCTACCCAGTCTGACAAAGTGAGACTCTGTCTCAAAATAAATAAATTAATGAATAATTTCCCACAAGACCTGCAATACCATTTTGTTTTGTTGGGTTTTTTTTTCCTTTGTTTTTCAATTGAAACAGAGTCTCACTTTGTCACCCTCTTTAGAATGCTGTGGCATCATAACTCACAGCAACTCTTGGGCTCAAGTGATTCTCTTGCCTCAGCCTCCCTAGTAGCTGTGACCACAAGCGCCCACCTGGCTATTTGTTTGTTTGCTTGTTTGTTTAGCAGGCCTGGGCCAGGTTCGAACCCACCAGCCCTGGAACCACTGAGCTACAGGCGCCCAGCCCCACAATACCATTTTGACATCCAATAAAAAGTTGCTATCAAACTGTTAATCCCTGTATCAGTTTGCTAGGGCTGTCCATAAAAAAAGTGCCACAGATTGGTTGACTTAAACAACAGAGATTTGTTGTCTCACAGTTCTCAAGGCCATATGTTCAAAATCAAGGTGTTGACAGGGCTGGTTCTTATTGAAGGTTGAGGGAGAATCTGTTGTGTGCCTCACCTGGTTTCTGGAGGTTTGATATTCTTTAGTTGTAGAAGCATGCCCCCAATCTCTGCCTTCATCTTCACGTGGCATTCTCCTTATGCACATTTTCCTGTCCAAATTTCCCCTTTGCAGCCGGCACGGTGGCTCATGCCTATAATCCTAGCACCCTGGGAGGCCAAAATGGGTGGCTCGGCTGAGCTCAGGAGTTTGAGACCAGCCTAAGCAAGAGCAAGATCCCATCTCTAAAAAAAAATAGCCAGACATTGGGCGGCACCTGTGGCTCAGTGGGTAGGGCACCGGCCCCATATACCGAGGGTGGCGGGTTCAAACC